TGTTTTGTTCTATAGAACCTAATAAAAATACTGATTATTTTACTAAGGCTTTGGCTAGACTAGCATTTCCAAAAGTGTCCAGAATATATTAAGGAATTAAAGTTAATTTTATAAGACCAATTTTTAAAAAAAAACCCTTTGGAAAAACTGGCCTGGGGTGGCACCTGTGGCTCAAAGGAGTAAGGCACTGGCCCCATATGCTGGAGGTGCCGGGTTCAAACCCAGCCCCAGCGAAAAACCGCAAAAAAAAAAAAAAAAAAAAAAGAAAAAAAGAAACTGTTACTGTACAAAAAAATTCTTGGGTAGCACCTGTAGCTCAGTGGGTAAGGCGCGGGCCACATACACCAAGGCTGGCAGGTTTGAACCCACCTGGGCCAGTTAAAACAAAAATGCCAACTGCAACAAAAAACATAGCCAGGTATTACAGCGAGTGCCTATAGTCGAAGCTACTTGGGAGGCTGATGCAAAAGAATATCTTAAGCCTAAGAGTTGGAGGTTGCTGTGAGTTGTGATGCCACAACACTCTACGCACAGTGACAGCTTAAGACTCTGCCTCAAAAAAAAAAAAAATTCTCTAACAACTATATACTGATACTTTGAGAAAACCAAAAGTAGGTATGTGCAGAAGGAAAAAATAATACATATTTTTCTAGTATAGGAAAAAGATTTAAAGGGGGTTTTTTGTAGGCTGAGCAGAGTGGCTCATGCCTATATTGCTAGCACTCTGGGAGGCAAAGGCTCAGCTTGAGCTCAGGGGTTCAAAACTAGCCTGAGCAAGAATGAGACCCCCTCTACTAAAAATAGAAAAATGAGCCAGGTATTATGGTGGATTCCAGGGCACTCTAGCCTGGGCAACAGAGTGAGACTGTCTCAAAAAAAGAAAAAAATTAAAAAAATAAAGTTTGAACAACAAAAAACTTTATAGGCAATCCCTGAGTTACAAACATCTTATGTATAATTCACACTTATGGAGACTATTACAGGTAATAGGTGAATGTTACGTGTTCCAACTTACAGGTAAGTTGGAACAAATTCAACTTAAGAACAAACCCGCTGAACTTATCTTGTTTGGAACCCACTTACTGACCATATTAGTGAGTAATTAAAGAGGGAAGAATATGCCCAAAACTACCGTTGGAAGCTAGAATTACGATAAATACTTTAGCGGAATCAAGATGAAACCTGCCACTATTTTTAAATGAAGTACTTTTAGAATATGGCAAGATAGTGACCTCGAGGTGACACCCTGAGAAAGCACTTTCTTGTTCTCATGTTTTACAGTCCAAGGTATCTCCTTCTCACTTCTTCACTGCTTTCATCTGGAGGTAGTAAGTTTTCCAGAGTAGCTTGTCTAGCCTGTGGTGGCACTATAGAGTGCTGGCTTAGATGCAGATGTCTGCAATAAGCTCCCTAGTAGAAAATACTTTTAGAAAACCCAAACCTCAAAATCTGATCAAGAATGATCCTGACTGGCTCAGTGCCTGTAGCTCAAGTGGCTATGGCACCAGCCACATACACCAAAGCAGGCGGGTTCAAATCTGTCCTGTGCCTGCCAAACAATGACAACTACAACCAAAAAATAGGTGGGTGTTGTGGCGGGTGCCTGTAGTCCCAGCTACTTGGGAGGCTGACGCGAGAGAATTGCTCAAGCCCAGGAGTTGGAGGTTGCTGTGAGCTGTGATGACACAGCACTCTACCTAGAGCAATAGCAAAAAAAATAAAAAAGGAATGATCTTGACAGTAAAAGTTCTTAAAAAACAGTGTTGTTATCAAAGGACAAAACTTACTGACTAATTAATAGGAGATCAATCTCTGCTGGATCAATTAAATCGATATAAGGAAGTGCATCCATTCCTTCTAGGCCAGGATGGATCCCACAGTCCAACTAAAAGAGACAGGAAAAAAGATCACAGTATGCACATTTACTAAAATTCATCCATAGAACAGACAATAATTATAAGTGACCCACCATTCACATAACCAAGATGGATTCCAAACATTTGCACTTGGAACACAACTCTTATTAAATATGGCAAATATGCCATAAACAATTCTAACTTCCCAAATTAAAAATACAGCTCATCTTTGGGGTCACAAGATGCAAAACATAAGACATCTTCTTTTTAGATTCTTTGCTAGTCACCCTAACAATAAATGAATTCTTTTTCCAGAACTCTGATATTAGTAGATGGTGGGCACTTTAAAAGTTCATAGATATACTACAATCAGATATGCCTATTGTGAGAAGATAATAATTAGAAATGAGAAGCTTCCCTGATCATAGTAATTTAAATATTTTAAGGCATTAGGGGACAAATTCCTAAGTCAGTCGTTAAAGATTTACTTATTTTAGCCAGGCACGGTGGCTTATGCCTGTAATCCCAGCACCCTGGGAGGCTGAGGCAGGGGGACTGCTTGAGCTCAGGAGTTCCAGGCAAGCCTGAGCAAGAGTGAGATCCAGTCTCTACTAAACACAGAAGAACTAGCCAGGTGTAGTGGTGCATGCCTGTAGTCCCAGCTACTCAGGGACTGAGGCAAGAGGATTGCTTAAGTCCCAGAGTTTGAGGTTGCTGTCAACTATGATGCCATGGCACTCCACCTAGGGCAACAGAGTGAGACTCTGTCACAAAGAAAAAAAAAAGAGATGTACTTATTTTGTAGGGCATTACTGCCAAATTAATATAATAAATGACTACACTGACATATACCTGTTCTTTTAAGATTGGAAGAACCTGAGAAGAGGAACCAAAGGAATATGAACCAATGAGCTGCCTTTCTAATGAGTACCTTAGAAACCATCTGGTCCATTCCTTCTACTTTTCAGGCACAGGGAAACAGAGTGACCTCCCCGAGGCCAGGGCCCTGATGCTATTTGGGTATCCAGCTCTCAAGCCAAAGCTCCATCACCACATGCTACATGGGAATGGCTAGAGCTCTGCATGTGTTTGGGGCAGTCAGTTCCTTGGGATCTTCCACTGGTGGTAGAGCAGTTAGGTTGGCTCAATCCTCCAAAAGTGGAAGCGGGACTTTGAAGAAACCATAGCTCAGCAGATCTAGTTGATAATTTTACAATCTTATAAGATATCTTCTTAATCTACTTAATCTTTTGTCAAATTAGTAAGTACTGATTTAGTTTTTCTCACTAACATAAAACAGCATAAATTACATGCACTATAATATTTTTCTAGGAGCAAAACAGATAACTAAGCTACCAGAAAAGATCTAACACCCATTACAGATAGAGCCATACTATTAACCCAACTACAAAAATAATAATTACCATTATTTTTCTTCCTTTGAACTCCAGAATAATACATGATCTTCCTACTTCTTGACCAGCTCCCCTGTAAACATTCATGGTGAGAAGTAAAAATGATTAAAAAACCAAATCCAAGCTCAGAAAATTCAATCTTTCTTATAGTTTAAAGTATGTCCCATTTAGTGACAGTAATCATTTAAAAATTTTGAGGCATATGAGAGTTCTACAAAATTACAAGGGAAGAACAACATCAATGCAGGAAAGGAGGAAACGTCATCTTTGGAAGGGCAGGGATTTTGCAGTTGCTAAAACTGTGAGACAAGGTCGTACAGATCCAAGAAGCCCAAAGGTGAAGTTTAATCTTCTCAATGTTAGGTTTAAATGATGATTTGGTATTAATTTTATTAATACCATTTAATATGGTATTTTAAATGCCAACTAGCAGTCATGCAGATTATGTAATAATACTTTGGAATTAGCACTTAAGTATAGAGCCACAAGTACTTCAACATGCTGTCATCTTCTTTTTTTTTTTTTATAGAGACAGAGTCTCACTTTATCACCCTTGGTAGAGTGCTGTGGCGTCACTCAGCTCACAGCAACCTCCACCTCCTGGGCCTAGGCAATTCTCCTGCCTCAGCCTCCCAAGTAGCTGGGACTACAGGTGCCCACCACAATGCCCGGCTATTTTTTTGTTGCAGTTTGGCTGGGGCTGGGTTTGAACCCACCACCCTCGGTATATGGGGCCGGCACCCTACCCACTGAGCCACAGGCGCTGCCCAAAATGCTGTCATCTTCTTTAACATATTACACATTTATAAAATAGAGCACTTATTCATACTTTCAGTCCCTTTTCTTTCACCTTGTGTTATTTCAATTTTTTTTTTTTTTTTTTTTTTTGACAGAGCCTCAGCTGTCCCCCTGGGTAGTGTGCCATGGCATCACAGCTCATAGCAACCTCCAACTCCTGGGCTCAAGCGAGTCTCCTGCCTCTGCCTCCCAAGTAGCTGGGACCACAGGCGCCCGTCACAATGCCTGGCTATTTTTTTGTTGCAGCCGTCATTATTGTTTGGCAGGCCCAGGCTGGATTTGAACCCGCCGCCTTAGGTGTATGTGGCTGGTGCCTTAGCCACTTGAGCCACAGGCGCTGAGCCTTTTCAATGTATTTTAATAGCAGTACTTAAACAGTTTTCATTTCTTCTTACATGAATAAAGCGGCCATAATTTCCAACGATCACAAAGCACCCTTCAAGTTAAACTTCACCTGTTTTTCAAATCCTTCACCTTCTTTGATGCCTTTTCCAACCATTTTAGTTCACAGTACACTCAGTCATTCAACATTAAGCAGTTTCTACAGTGCCAAAAAAAGTACACACATTTTAAGAAGAAACTATTAAAACTGTAATACTCAACAGACACTGCTAACAAAAGATTAATACCAGTCACCTTGAGTGCCTCTTATAATTGCAGAAATCAAACATGACTTGAGTATTAAAAATTTAATAGTTTTTTCCTTTCTTAAAATGTGTATACATTTTTTTGGCACCCTCTGTATTTGCCAACTGCTATATTAAGTGCCTGAGATAAGTGGACCGTGACTTCAAGGAAGACAGTTTACTAGGAGATAAAACATGAAAATGATTTGTCCTCAACTGAGATCCTACCTCCTACGCTGTTGATGAAGAAAAAATAAAAAACAAATTTTAATTTTTACAGATACCCCAGCCTTCCACTTTATGTGACTCTTGATATTCCCTCTTAAGTGTCCCTAGCTCAGTTTTCTCTTCTAGTTTCCATAGCAACCATTTCAAACTTTCTACCCTTTCCCAAATTTTCCAACCCTCTACCTTCTTCATTTGAGGCATAGGTCATCACCTAAATCAATTCCTCAAATTCATTTACCAAACTGCCCACACCTTTGTCTCTACTTCTTTCCATATTTACACACCTGACATTAGATATCTCCCGAATATCTCCCAGGGACACATATTCCATATGCCAAGGGAGTTTTCACAATACCCTTGCATTTGCTCACCTTTCTTCCTGGAATGTTCTGCCCTCAGACGTTGGCAGGACTGTTTCCTTTCTATCAGCTGGGTCTCAGTTCAAAGGTCACTTTCTCAGAGGGTTTCCCTTGATTACCTCCTCTAATTTGTCCTTCACAACAAGCTATAGTCTAGCATGATTTTATCAAAATACTTATGATTTCAAGAAGTTATTGCATCTATTCATGGCAGATTTTTCACTACTAAAATGAAAGCAGCATTAAGAACAGAAATAGTGTCTATCTTGGTCACTGCTGTATTGCTACAGTGCAGGACATGTAGTAAATTATATCTCAAGAAGTATCTATTGTATAAATAAAACTTCTAAATTATGAATCTTGGAAATGAAGCAAAAGAAGCCAGAGACAAAAGGCTACATATTTTCTGATCCCACTTATATGAAATGTCCAGAATACACAAATCTATAGAGAAGAAAAAGATTGGTGTTTCCTAGGACTGGGGAATTGTGTATGACCGCTGGTAAGTACAAGGTTTCTTTCTGGAGTGATGAAAATGTTCTGTAATTAGGCAGTGGTGATGGTTGTGCAACTCTGGGAATCATACACTTTAAATGAGTTGTGTTACATGTGAAGTATGTTTCAATAAAGCTGTTACAAAATGATGGAACTCCTACATTTACTCTAGACCTGCCCCATATCCTATACTGCTAAAGTGAAGGACACAACCGTTTTTTAGCTGCCCAATCTTGGACTCTGAGTCATCTTAACACTCCTCTCTGCCCTGTCTTTCCTTCCCACAACCATCCCTTCAGATACATCTTATCAGTTACAAAACCCTGAAGATTTCACTTTTGAACTCTCTTGAAACACTCATTTCACTCATTACAGGCTCCCACTGCTTAGAGTTGGATTATTTGGAATACATCCTACTGAATCTCCCCACTTTATCCTTTCTTTTCATCTCCTACCTGCTTCTAGGAGTGACATTCTCATAACTCAGGGGTCCTCAACCTTTTTAAACAGGGGGCCAGTTTACTGTCCCTCAGAATGTTGGAGGGCCGGACTGCGGGCCCCTGGACGAGTCAGCTGCTAAGCAGGACAGGCAGTGTTGGCAAAAACACCCAGAGGGCCGGATAAATGTCCTAGGCAGGCTGCCTGTGGCCCGTAGGCTGTAGTTTGAGGACGCCTGTCACAACCTAATTTCCACGATATCCCATGCTTGTTTATAATTCTTTGTTGCTGGCTTGGCACCAGTGGCTCAAGTGGCTAAGACACCAGCCACATACACCTAAGGTGGCGGGTTCAAATCCAGCCTGGGCCGCCTAACAACAATGACAGCTGCAAACAAAAAATAGCCGGGCACTGTGGCAGGCGCCTGTGGTCCCAGCTACTTGGGAGGCTGAGGCAGGAGACTCACTTGAGCCCAGAAGTTGGAGGTTGCTGTGAGCTGTGATGCCATGGCACTCTACCCAGGGGGACAGCTTGAGGCTCTGTCTCAAAAAAAATAAAAATAAATAAATAAAATTCTTTGTTGCCTCCATATAATCGACCCAATAAAGACCCAAACTCCTTAATACGCACATGAGGTACTTCATAAACTGGACATCAATAGCTTGTTCCATCTCATCTGCTAACCTTTTAGCTGCAGACATGAGGAATCTGTCCACAAGCTGTGACCACTCTCACTTTCCCATGTGCCACTTCCTTTGCCTGGAACATCCTGGCCCCTACACTGTCTTTAATTCCTACTCATTCTTTAGGACTCAGCTCAAGCATCACATTTTGCAGGATGCACGAGCTATCCCCCTCCTCCATCTGCTAGAAACTTCAGTGCAATGCCTTCCTGCATTCTTATATTAGTATCATTCACTAGGCACCTGCCATGATTTTTACTCAAGTGCTGTTACAGTATTTTCACATGAGGAAATGGGTTTAGTGAGGCTGTTGTCCTAATAAGTGGTAAAGTAGGCACTCGACTTCAAGTATCACTCTGAAGTAATGATCTCCTGTTACTCCAAAGTCTCTCCAGTACTTCCCACTTTGCACTGTAGTTCCCTCCAATTGGTGAAAGCAATTAACTCAGCCCTCTATCTTATTTGTATCCGCAAGCCTGGTGCAGTGCTTGACAGTTCCTCAGTATTTGTTGAACACAGGAAGAGATGACAGGTGTGAACTAAGCAGCAGAAACCTTGGGCTATGACTCAAGTAAGTGCTCAGTGAAGCCTTTTGAATGAATGTGTAAGGGAGATACTACCTACCTTTTGTAAAATGTATACTACATTCATGTGGTACCAAATAATTATCTAACAATATCAATATGTTATGGATTCAAATTGCTCTCTATAGGAATTCAAGTTCTCACAGTTCTCTCTCCCCTTCAGCAGCATTCCAGAGTGCTGAAGGCCATCTCCACAAAAAGACCAATCTCCTATGGTCAACCAAGGGCTGAGATTTTTGTCCCTAACACCTCTGCACGTCCTCTTCTCCAACTCCCCGCTTTGCTAATTAAGAGTCTGAGCTTAGCAGGCTGAAACTCATAGCAAATCCCTAATTTATTCTCTTTCACATCCTGGAGGTTTTCTTTTCTCTTCTTTTCTTTTCTTTCTTTTTTTTTTTTTTGAGATAGAGCCTCAAGCTATCCCCCTGGGTAGAGTGCTGTGGCATCGTAGCTCACAGCAACCTCCAACTCCTGGGCTCAAG